GGTGTGTGTGTGTGTGTGTGTTTGTGTTTGAGAGTATATATATATATGTTTTCCTCGTCTGATTCGACCTCCAGTACAATATGCCATATCACAGCTCATTTCCGTTAATGCAGTAATGAACTCTGTAGTAGCCAGCATGTTTCACATACGGCACCATGTAGGTGATGAGTGATGCAATATGGTAGCGTGTTTAAATTGATTTTCTTCTTCACTCATCACTATATCTCTGAGCTCTCTCTCGACATTTGAGGCATGTGTGCATACTCACTGTGGGGGGTATATATCGACAGAGCGGATTCAAGTGTATTCATGTGGGGTGTAGGTGGCAGGAAATGCCTTATATGGATATACGGACGATACTATATTCCTTGTCAAAGTGGACATACCCTTGTGTTAATACGGAATTATGTTATAAGCGACATAGGCCGAATATACTTACTGAACAGCGCCTTATCAGTCGTCCTGGGGCGACTATTAGGTTTTCTTGGACTCAAATATACACGCTGAAACAATCTGTGCGGTTTAGCACACAATGCACGCATTAATGATGAATTGTGCGAGTTCTCCTTGTACGTATATTGATAGACGAATGTGAGCTCTCGAAACCCCATATCTTCATGCAGTTGTATAAATATGTGGGATGCATAAAACAATATCTGGCGGTCAGTTGCAATTGACTGGCTAACCCGAGAAGGATATACTTCTGCTACTATTTTGCATTGGATCGACTACCATCCCGGTGTTTTAACATTCGGGTACAACTGAATCTGTGCAATGACTGACCTCCTAGTGGTTCATATTGCAGTAAATCTCGACTGATGAGTAGTAGACGAGTGGGTGACCCACACTCGTGAAAGGGCTTCCTGTGGTTGCTCACTCGCGATTTTTTTGTCATATTTTTAGTCTAAGCCTATCCCTATGTGTTGGCGTTGGATGCCTTTGTACCCGTATTTTTCTTTAGGAAATGGTCAAGAATGTACCACAGTGGGACGACATGGCTCTGGAGGAGTGTGTGGAACCCATGGATACGGGCACTCCAAAGTCAGAAGGTACGTTGAGCTCGGGATACTAGCCTTTTATTTAATATATTTTTCGTGGTAGTTGTATCGTGGACAAGTACATGGTCACCGACTGTCTCTATGTTTTAGAAACTACTGAGAAACCTATGGCGCGATGATGTTTATATGTCGGTGGTAGGCCTATTTGATTAAACAACAATTAAAGTAAGTATATTATATATATATATATATATATATAATATATGTATATATATATATATATATATATATATAGTGTGCGTGTATATATATATATGGATTCAACAGCTATCCCGTGCATCAGTAGAGAATAAACATGCTGTGGCGCGCATTCAAAGCTTCAGAATGGTACCCCTGTTCTGGTCATGCGTCGTGATAACACCTTCACTGTGTGTTTTTTTGTGACGAAATTTACTGTTAAATTATCGAATATATTCTGTCTTGCACACTGCACACACCAGTAACGCAGATCTGAACCAACACACACAGCTGTCATGCTGTTCTACAGCAGACTGCAAGTGCAGAGGCGAAGGGCCACGCACCGTGACTATGCACTCACAGAACCGCAACTATGAATAGCTGAATAATTAACACACACAACTAGATATTATATGTTACAAATATGTATGCACACACATGCATACGATAACCACACATACATACGATAACCACACACATGCATATGCTAGCACAGGCACACGCAGGTGAACTCGAGTCGCGTTTCTACCAAAAAAAAACGGGAATATGTGGATAACCTCACACGAGTACGCAAACGTATTCCACACCTCATGCTCGTCAGACCTAGCGGGCTGAACGAGGCACCACCCGATGTAATGCTCTGTATTCAAGCAAGAAATATATAATCTCAAGTAGATGTCCTTACTCGCCGTATGCATTTCCTGCAAGTGCAATTGTGGATATACTCTTATAAACACCCACACCACTTGAGCACTTACGTACCCAGCTGAGTTATACACACTTGCACAGCCTATCTCTGACCACATCCTTGGACACTCACTCAGTACATACACCCTGTCATATTTGTCCTCTCCTGTGCAGCTGACGGCCGTCTGCGATTCGACACATTTGATATTCGCCGAGTGTTGGACAGGGGCCACGCGCTGCTGGGCTCGTCCGGGAAGGAATATGAGTACAAAAGAGATGACCAGACATCCAAGGAAAAGTATGTGGATTCGCAAATACGGCTGGTGTGTAAGATATTTTATGACTAATGGGTAAAATGTTGAGTCCTAAGGAGAAAGAAAAGTATGCGAGATGCAATTGCGTCGAATTTTGGTGCTTAAAGTAGTAGAAATTGTAGGTGGGGTGAGTAATGGGTGGTATGTTTGGTTCAAGGGTACTGCCTTTTTTTGTGTTATGTTAGAAGCCTGTCAGCAGTGCCCTTTTGCTCTTTATGATGCTGAACTACGACAGGAATACGAGGACAAGAGAGCGGTAAGTTACTTTTAGACAAATATGCTAGAATTTTCTGGTACAATTATGTAAACATAGTAGTACACACACACACACATATATATATTATTATTGATATTATTATTATTATTACTATTATTATTATTATTATTATTTTTATTAATATTAATAATATTATTATAATATTATTAAATTGTAATGCATATTTTTATATTATCACATATATGTATATATACTATATTATTATATTATATATATATTACATATATAATGTTATATTTATATATATATATATATAAATATATATATGCTTATACATAACTGTACGATTGATGTACCTGTATCGATACGGCCTCTTCATTGTTTATTGTTTATACATGATTCACATTTACCGCACATGCGCCAACTCGATCGCTTTATCTGTACTGGCTTATTTACAACCGGACGAGTAATACATATGCATAAAATCGATCGCCCTATATACACATGCTCATGGATAACCGTATGACCCTTGTGCAAACACCGACCAATCACCTCGTATGTACAAATTAATTTGTTACAACCCTCACGATCATTGAAACTGGACACTATCCATCGTCTTATATATATACTTCGCATTTCATGATCATATGATCGATCCAAATGAAAAAATAGTTCGCCTTGTTCTCCTGTTGGATACGGGCATATGTTCTCAGCCACTCGCAACTCAGCGACGTACATTATTTGCTTTTATTTCACGTGCACAAACTTGATTACTTTTTATCTACTATTTTATAATCGCACGATATATTCTCCTGCACAGTTTGGATCACCTTGTATATATCTCGGCATATTCATATCCTTACCACCATACTACATGTTTATAGGACACATGCCTATTTTAGAGTGTACGATCGTGGCACATGAACATGCACGACCGCCTTATATAAACTAGTTGACTTACTTCTGTACGATATTGTACTTGCATATAAAATCATGCTTTTTAACAAATCATACGAACGTTTTACATACTCCGAACTGATCGCCTGATAAATACCAGTTCTTTCACAACCGTACTATTGCTACACATGATTCTATGTACATACTTGTACCTGATTGCATGGCCATTGCATATACAGATTGTATCGCCTAATCCTACTGCTAGATAGGGCACTTCCACTTTCTGCGCATTTCAGCGCCGATACAAACTATACTTGCATTGCTCGTACAAACATGAATGCTGCGTACACACACACACACACACACACACACACACACACACACACAC